GCCCAGTTTTGGTGCCCAGGATTGCTGATGGGGTGCCCAAGCCTGGGTAAAGGTGCCTTGCTGACCACAGGCCTCCCCCTTCAGCCCTGTCAAAATTCCTGGACTCCCAAGACCTGGCTGGGTAGTTCATCAAGCCGTCCCACCTGGGAGTACAATTTGAGGGTGCCTCATCCTGGCTGCAGCCACCTTTCAGATGGGATCAATCACTCAGGTATATAGAGCCAGGCCCACAGTAGAAGGTTGTGCACAGCGGACGGGAAGTTAGCAGGTTTAAAATGGGACAAAAGAAATGAAAGCTGGTTCTTCTTTTCAGGGGTTAAAGCTTCATGGTGGTCTGGGTTAGGGATGGTGATTTTGCCCATGCTGGCCCCACATCTCAGAGATCAATCAACTGCCCTGGAAGCTCGCTCAGTGAGCAGGGACTGTCTTCCTGATTACACATGTACACAGACAGGTTCACAGGTAGACTTACAGCAGGTGTGTTTAATAAGGATTTATTCAACATTTTTAAAAAAGAATAGTAAGAGCCTAGGACCTGGCTGTGGAAAGGACACAGGCCAAGAAGTTGGGTTCTCAGGTGTGAGTGGGGTTCACAGAGCACCATGCTGTCCCCTGAGGTGGGTCAGTGTCTCTAGTGCCCCTGGCAACCAAGGTCTCCCTCAGCCCCCGGAACCCGACCTGTTCCCAGACCATCCGCAGAACCCAGAAGGCCATGAGTTTGGCCAGGAAATGAGGGGCTCCCCGGAGTGTGACTAACAGTTTCTGGCATAGACTGTGAGTATTCAGAATTACTGCAAGTCTACCCACTTGCTAAATCCACAGACATTTAGTATTTGCTAGAGCTGCTATTTAACAGCAGAAAAGAACGAACTCAGATTTGTTCCAGTTGAAAGAGCCCTTCGGCTGTTGCCACTTAAATCTTCACTGATGCTTTCCCCTATTTTTCTGCATTGAAAAAAAAAGTGATATATATGATTTATAGGTAACAGATATATACTTGTCTACCTTTTTACATGTAAAAAATACGTCTAAGTAAAAATGTGTGCGTGTGGACCACCCCCCATCCTCCCAGGTACCCGGGGTGGGTGGTGCTGCCCCCTGCGCCCACCAGGCTCCTCTGCTGGCTGGGCTGCTTGTGGTCACTGGTGAGAGGCAGGCTGGCCTGGCAGGAGTTGTGGGGGATGAAGGACAGGGCCATCAGTGTCCACTCTGTCTTCCTCTGAACTAAACACTTCAGCAAATGCTCTCTGTGAGTCTCAGAAAAGACCTCCAGGAGAAGTACTTCATGCTCAACAGGAAGAGGAGAAGATTAAAGGGAGAAATGGGTTTTCATCCAGAGAAGAAGGTGACGGTGAGACCTCTGGCCTCAACCTCACTGGTGCCTCCTCCAGGGGAGCAGGAGCAGCTAGGTCTGGCTGCAGGACACCTCTCCTCAGGGGTGGGAGTCTGCAGCTTGCCAGTGCCCCTTTCTGACCCACACCTCGAGCTGCCTGTTGTGGTCCCAGTGCAGTTCCAAGGCTAACAAAGCACAACACCGCAACACCTGCCCTTCACTCAAGACAACACAGAGCTACAAACATGGATGCCTCCTCAAGACCCAGTAAACCCCCCATGTGACACAATGGGAAACCGAGGCACAGTGACACAATCCTACCAACACTTAGTCTGTGTCTGCTGTGAGCCTGCGACAGGCTGGGGATGGGGCCCAAGTGGGACCAAGCAGGGGAGGGCCAGCAAGTAAGGGCGGGACAGGGCAGAAGGCCACCCCCCCACCAGGAGGGCCAGGGAAGCTGTGGAGGAGGAAGCTGGAGGACCATGAAGGAGGTTGAGACACCGGCTGTTTCGTAGAAGAGACAAGCCTGCAGAGACATGCGCTGGGGGCATAGAGTGGAACGGCTGGATCCACACTGTGGCCAGGTGGGGGCCTTACTCGCATGCTTGGTCCAGCCTCAGCCCTCTGTGCCCCCAACAGCTGAGGGAGCCAGCAAAGAGGCTCCCCATCACTGCATACTCCAAGGCCCTCTCCCAGGTCCTCCCAATAGATCCACTGGCTCCCAAATCCTGACAATGGCCTGCTCGGGCTGAAGGGGGAATCCCCAATGGAGCCACAAGGCCCACTGGAGCCAGGAAGGGTGGGCAGCCACCTGGACGGCCAGTGCCTGCCATCAGACCCAGCTCCCGCTCCTCCTGCCCTCTCCTGCAATTAGATGGAAGGCAGAAGCGCTCGGAGTGCATAGGGTGACATGCCAGCAACTCCCAGCAACATGTTTTAAACAGACGCTGACCCGATTTCTATTAATTAGCCACCAAGCCTCATCTTTCCACAGCTGCGTTCTCCAAATGAGACAGTAGGGACAAGAAGCTTCCATCTTGATGTTAAAGCTACCAATGATAAAGCCTTTTTTAAAAACAAATTCACAGTGACCCAAACCACATTAATCTGACACATGCATGGCCATGCTCCCATCAACTTTAGGTACTGAAGGGCCTGGCAGAAAACAGAATGCCTGTCCCCAAGAGAGGAGAATTGAGAAGCGTGGTGCTGGACCCTGGTGTAGTGAACCCAGTGCAGGTAGGTGTCTGGGGGCAGGCTGTCCTCCTCTACTCTACCACCTAACAACAGGGCTCCCAGGGACTGGGGGATCCATGGTCCATCTGCCTGATATGGGATTCAGGACCCTGTAGGGTTAGGTAGCAACCACGCCAGCCCCCCCAGCACTTGATAATGCTGCACCACACACCTCCTCCATGAAGGCTGACCCCACAGCCTCCATCCTGGCACCTGGCATGCATTTAGATGCTTTTCTCCATGGATGGCACTATATGTTCCTGGGCCCTGCTGCCCCTCTTGCAGTAGACACATGCTGAAGCTTGTCTGCCATCCCATCCTTGGCCTTGCACAAGCTCCCAACCAGTCTGGAATGTACTTCTATGCTGCTCCCCCAAGTCTTACTCAAATGCTACCTGCCCTCTGAGGCCCCAGAGCCCACTCCTCTATACTGTAAGTGCTTCATCACTAGATTCGGGCTGCTCCTGCAAGTTGGGGTATGTGTGTGGGAGGCATGTTTTACTCATCTCTGCAGTGAACAGCCAATGTCAGCTTGGAAAGGGTGTTCCCACAGCAAATGCTTGGCCAGCACTTGGCTGTGTGACAGCTGGCCTACCCTTGCCAAGTTCTTCTTCCCTCTCCCCAGCCCTGGCAGCCAGGGATGCTTTTAAGCCACACAGCTGATCATGTCACTCTTCTACTTTAAAGCCTCTAATGACTTCCCAGCACTCACGGGATAAAGACCAAAACTCCCACCATGGCCCTTGCCTGGTCTCCAGCTTCCCTGCTGTTCTTTCTCCTCTGATGGCAGCAGCCCTTCCTCCCCAACTCACTAACCCTCATGGCCCTCCACCTACATCAACCTGACTTCATGCAAATGTACTTTCTAGGGGAGACCTTTCTGTCTCCCCACACCTTCCCTCATGGCACTGTGGCACTTCTCTCAGTCTGTGTGTATAATACCCCCCCCCCCAAGCCCTTGTTACGCTGTGAAACTGATGGGGACAGAGAAGATGTGTGTATGCTCACCCTCCATCAACCTCCATGCTCAGCCCAAGCCTCACACAGCACACACTCAATATCTGAACAAATGAATGACTGAATGAATGCATAGCAAACTCAGAATCTACCCCAAAGAGAGCTACTTATAAGGTTACAGTCCACTATGTGTGAAACACTTAGGAAATAAATAATGGAGAAAACCTCGAACATAGAAATGATCCTAACTGCCATTTGCCAAATATATGCTTGGCCAGGCTGGACTAAAGGCATCAGAAGTCTTTTCTTGTTTTACTCTTAACAACCCCGCAGAGTAGGGGTTATCCAGCCTTTACCGATTAAAAAATGGAATCAGGGAGACACAGGCAAGGCCATCCCGGCAACAGATGGCCAGGACTTGCTCCAGGTCTGCTGGGACCAATGCCTACGCTCTTCACCGCTGTAAACTCCTGGAGGAGGGTTGCTCTTGCTCTAGCTTCATGTGTCTCACTGAGGGGCCATCCAGTGTCCACTGGAGCTGTCTGGGTTCCCACATCCCATCTCCTCTGACCCACTAGAAGCAGCTCCTGGGGCAGGAAACCCTAGATGCCCAGTGTCTGGCCTGTAGCAGACATTCAGAGCAGACAGGTGGCGAGTGCTCCGAGGTGTTCAGAGCTGCAGGCTGCCCAGCCACACTCACCCTGTGTCCACAAGAGTCTGTAGGACATTGTCAACCTGCCCAGCAGCCACTTACAATCACAAATTGAAATGGCAAGGCCAACGTGAGGGACCAAAGGAGGGCCAGGAGGGGAGCTTCTCAAAGTTCCATCTATGTCTCCCTGGAAACCCCTTACTTAAGGATCCTGATACATCTCCAAGGCAAAGGGAAACAAAAGCATCTCTGGGAAGCATCCAGCCCACAGCCCCTGCAGCTGAGACGGGCCAGCATACATGCAGGAAAGGGATGAGGGATAATGGGCATGCTCCAGGGAAAGCACACTGGCATAGAGCTTGTAAGCTCCTCTTGAGACGTGGACTGCAGATGCCCTGGGTGACACTTAGCAGCATTTCTGGTCTAGCTGTTGCTTTTATGAGCAATTCTCTTGTGAAATACTTACCTGCTCCCCTCTCATAGATCCCTCTGCTGCCTCCAGAAATCCCTGTTGCTTCTTTTTTGCGAGCAATAAAAGCAGGTCCCACCAGATGGCCCAGGGACTACCTGCTCCAGCCTAAGCACTGGGAATGTGAAGAGGCCCCAGTCGTCAATGATGTTGAAAAAAGGCCAAACCAGTGGAGACGAGTTTCTCATTTAGAGGAACTTAAGTGGACGAAATATGGTTGGAACAGAGAATACCTTCCAGGAAGGCAACAGAGGAAAAAGACTCGAACAGACTCCAGCTGCTGATGGGGAATGAAGCTCAAAGAAGAGCCAGAGGGCCTGGAGTAAGGGGACAGAGGCTGCTGGGGGACGCACCTGAGTGTGTTCACCTCCTCTCTGGAGAACAGAAAGCTCTGCTCAGCAGAGCTTGACTGGGATTTCAGCATCTTCAGCTCCACCTCCAGCTATGAGAAAACACAGGGCGAAGGGTCAGCCAGACACAGATGCTCCACAGGCCTGCACAGAACCCCCCAGGCCCCTGCCTGGCTCCAGGAATCCCAAAGGCGGCATGAATATGTCCCCCAGGCGGGATCCCCACCTTCTCCTGGGAACCTGGGGAGAAGAGACCATTTTGCCAGGAATCTTAGAAGCCTGAAGCTGCCAGGCCATAAAGCATTCTAACTTGGTGCAAACACATGTTCTTTCTCTTTTTATAGCACTTCTGTCTCCAAAACAGCAACAGAGACACAGTCATTTTGGGGAATGTTGAGGGGAGATAACAAAGTCTCTGGGGAAAGGAGGGGACACAAATAACTGAAAAGAATATATTCTAAAGTTTCCATTACTTTGATTTAAGAGTCACAATATTTTATTTATTTTGCTACTTCAAATTCTTCCATAGAATGGCATGAGATGCCTACATAGCTCAGAAAAGAACGTGGATTTAAACACTCCCTAACACACTCAGGGTGGAAGGAATCAAGGGCAGCAGATGGGGAGAGAGACCAGGAGCCAGAACAGACTGCAGGTCTAAGAAAGAGCAGGGCACAGAGCTGGGTCTAGGCAGGCCAGCCGCTAGCCAAGACCCAGACTCTCTAAGGTGATTCCCACAGCTGAAGCCTGGATGGAACATACTAGAGCCTGCCAGATGCTGCAGGCTTGGGGTCACAGTCCCCAGGCTGCAGCTCTGGCCATTGCTCAGTCCAGCCCTCAGGTCCCCCCTACCTCCATGCCAACTGAGTCCTTCAGGCTATTCATTACTGAGGGAGGGGAGGAAAGGAAGGACCCCACTGTCATCTGCCCTCTGCTACTTCCTAGCTTTGCAACCTCATGGAAGTGACTTCACTTCTCTGAACCTCAGGTTCCACTTCTGAAACTGTGGTAAGTGAGATGATTCAGAAAAAATCCTAGAGGGAGAATGGGGGGAGGGCAGGGGGTTCTGCAGACTTCTCAGTCCATGGGAGGGCTCAGGTCCCATTTCCTTGGCTGGCCTGGCCGAGCTTCATGGGCTCCCTCCTCTTGACCATCTGAATAGCATTAAGAGCCCACTGTCCCCCTTTGCTCCCACCCTGTTCTCATGTGATCCCTTCAGGGCACAAAACAATCATCTTCCTTCAGTTCCTGTCCTGGGACAATCAGGGAAGCCAGACAGGATGCAGAGAGACCTGTCATCAGTACTGAGTGGAGGAACCTGAGGTTGCTTCTCCCATCAGAGATGTGGGGCCAAGAAGAGCATCTTGGAGATGGCTTCCAGAAGCTTCCAGCCTAGAATTATCCAGAACCTCCCAAATCTTCCTGACCCAAGCCACCTCCGCCACAAAACCTTCTTCAATTCTCCAAGTATGAAGATGGTTCCTCCCTTTGGACACTTTGTACATCCCACCATGAACCATGATGGAACCATGTCACCCTCTCACTCTGCAGAGCACCCGTCACAAGGGGCAGGAGAGGATGCCCAAATGAACCACGGAGCACCCATCGAGGTGAGGTGCCAACAAGCACCAGGGCATCCAGAGGCCATGGCCAGTGAGGTGGGTGCAAAGCCTGCTTGGGAGAACAACATCCTCAAAAGCTGGAGGCTGACAGGAGCGTGGGAGGAGTGTGCACCATGGAGAGAGGGTGCATGTGATGGTGTATTCATGGGAACAGAGCTTGACCAGGCTGTGTCGAGTCTCCAGGAAAGAAGCTAGCCCTTGACCACAGCAGGCCAGTCCTGCAGAAAGCACTGACACACAGGCAGAAGACCTCGCTCTGCAGGTGCCTGCAGCCCGTCCTGTCCAGACAGCTGGGGCAGAGACATGGAATAGTCCCTAGACAACCCAGGGCTGGAGATAGCCAGGCTCTGACAGGAGACTTCAGGGAGCTGTGTACCCCTGGGAAGGCTGCCTGAGAAATGCTGACCAGGTATGACCAAGGGCCCATCCATGCAGACAGCACAGGGGTCTGCACAGTGGCCGGGGAGCTGAGAGGGGCCAGGAGCCCCTGAACCTAGGCCAGCTGCCCCTGCCAAGTGACCAGGTCAGAGACGTCAGCAACGGGCAATGAACAGGTGCCAGCAGCTCCAGGAGATGCTCTCAGCTCAGCATCACTTATTCCACTACATGCAACGCAGTCACTCAGACATGCTGGGCACTGAGGATGTGGTTCTGCCATCACTGGGCTCTGAGGCTGGCCTGAGGAGTTTGTTAGTGGTGAGACCCTCAGGCTAGAAAATGCTAGGGTTGAAGATGGTGCAAGAGGGGCCATTGCATGGGTTTCCACAAGGTCAGGTCATCTGAAGAGACCTGGTTTTCTTTTGCCAAAATGGGAAGAATCTAATAGGTGACCTGTAGAGAATCACATGACCTTGATGTCCTTCTGGGGTCACTTGTTAGTCACAATTCTCCCCCAGTCCCTCACTGCCGCCAGATGGCTCCCTGCTCTCTGGCCCACATGAGGCTTCTCATCACTGATGGGTGATGTCCCCAACCTGGCCATGGCCCACACGGCTGGCCTTCCCCCACTTCATCTCTCACCACCCTGTCCCATGTGGCCGCTTTCAGATTCTAGAGAAGGCCAGGCTCCTGCCTACCTCAGGCCTCTGAGGGTGCTGCTGTCCTGCCGTGACTACTCTTTCCTTCTCTCCACCCGGGTAACTCCTGCTCTTCCTAATGGTCCTAGGATAATGCCCGTCCTTCACTGACTCCCTGCTGTGAGCTCTGATGGCACCCAGCCCTGTGTCAAAAGGGAACTGCCCCACGTACAATTGCAGGTGTGGTTTTGTGCCTGCTGATCGGATGACAGTCTGTCTCTGCACTGGGCTACAAGCCCAAGTGAGTGCATAAGCTCCCTGACCACTGTGTGCGCAGTGCCTCGGCCAGAACACGCACACAGTACCTACTTAGTGAGCAGAATCAATGTGTGAGGGGCAGGCACGCGGGCTGGACTTGTAGGCATGCAGACCCATACCTCCACTGGTCCCGTGGCCCAGGCTCGGGGATGCTTGCCCAGGGTTGATCTCCCAGCTCCTGCACAGACACAGGTTTTGAGGCTCACTTAATGAATTTCAAATTCTGGTGGTTGTTTTCTGGCTGTCTCACAGATGGTGGGGCACTCTGAGTGGTCCTGGATTTCTCCAGAGGGTGAGAAGAGGGACAGCAGTTCAGCCCTCCCTGCAAGTGGGGCTTCTGGGAAGGTGCAGCCTCCTCGGGGGCAGCACACCACGAAGAACACGGAATCACCCAGCTTTCAACTTTCAGAGAAAGCACTTGCCACAGGGACATTTAGGAGACGAAACGAAGTCCTGAGCACAAACACCCTTGAATGGTTCTTTTCTAACAAAAGTCACTAATCATTAAAAATCATCTCAATCACTGCTTCTAGATCTAAGAAAGAACAGGGGCTATGAATTGATAGAAGTCTAACAGGCCTCTGCACAGGCCAACAACCACAACAGTCTGCTGACAGCTGCAAGGGAGGGCTGGCTGGGGATGGACACAGAGCTGCCATGAATCTCGCCACTCTGTCAGGGAGGATGCTGAGGTCGAGAGAGGAAGTAACCAGTGCAGGTCGTGGTCACCTCCTGCCTCCCTCCACTGTACCAGCCTGAGCCTGGGCTACAGGTTCTCAGGACTGCCTGAGGTTCATCTTTGTCCTGACCTAAAGGGATGCCCTGTGACCCCTATCCAGTTCTCTATAAAACCCGTCAGGGCACAAGAGGCTCAGGAACATTCCTCATGGCCACCTGCCCCACCTATAGACACTAGGTCTGAATAACCTGGTTGGCTCTCAAGGCGGGCTGTGGACCCACTGTGCTAGCCTCCTTGTGTGCCCATGAACTGAGGACGACAGGTGGGTCCCAATTGTATGCCCAGACATGAACAATGCTGCTGCAGGTCAGCAGGGATGGAAGAGTGATGACTCCATGGCAGAGGGCAGAAGAGAGGGGCACATTTGCCACAGGGCTGCCTTGTGGCCTCCATGAACACTGGCACCTGCTGTGCTCACAACTCCAGCTTCTTCTTTCTGGAAAACAGTCACTACAGGCCACTCCTGGAAAGGCTCTCCTGGGCAACCTGACTTAGGAATTCCCTAAACCCGAAGCATCAGTTTCTACAAAGCCACAGTATTGATCATTGAGGCTCCTGGAGGAAACCCTGCCCCCACAAATGGGACCAGTACACAGCAGGGTAACTTCAACCATGCTGGTTAGGCTGTGCAGAGCCCAGCACAGCACTCTCTAGGCTGTGTTCCTGGGACTGTCCCAGCAGAGGGCCACAGAGTAAGGGGAGGGCTGAGAATCTAGCTGTACGTGGCTGCTCCACACCCAATTTCCTTAGACACAGCCAGAGCTTAAATGCAAACTGGAACCCTACAGCACCCACAGAGCTAGTTGCTTGCCTTGGCAGACAACAGGTGGCTCTCACAGTGTCCAAGGTGATGCCCCTCATTACAGGACAGGCACTAAGTGACCATGTGGCAGGGTAGCACCACAATGTGAAACAAAGCCTGTTCATATTCAAGGAGAAGCAACATTTGCATGACAGGCACCCCCTCCACTGTTCCCACCCTCCCAGGACCTGAAAAGCTCTACCTCACAAACTTGGAGGAGCTCAGATGGAGTTTCCCCCAAGGCATGGAACACCTCCTTTCGCTCCCTTGTCAATGCTGCCCAGACCTCCTATCCAGCAGCAGGAGGTCCAGGCCTTCTGCAGTGAGATCAGCTCCCATCATCTTTGCTGGGGTGAGCTCCCAGAAACGTGTTTGTCCTAAATGTTGCCTTACTCGTGGACACAGGCAGGCAGGCCAGAAGTACACCCACTTGAACCTCACCAGACCAAGAAGGCTGTTTCCTGGAAGGACACAGACACAGAACCAGGCCTGAGATTCCAGTCTGAGCCCCCCCCCCCCCGTTTGTTTGTTGTTTTGGTAGGAAGAAGGGTTGCTGATCTCTCGAGCAGAGGAGATGCATGTCCAAGAACAGAGT